ACAAATTTGGCATGGCCTGCATCACCGCGTATGACTTTTTATGACCGTTTCCTTGTTCTTGCACTGGAAAATACTGACCAATAAGGAAATCGCCATCAGAATTATACATAGCCTTCTGAGTCATCGATGCGTTGCACGAGTACTGATGAATGGCCAGACCAGTGCGAGAGACCACATCGCCTCCTCCGCAGAACGTGTACAGACCCTGCAATGACGAAACGAAACCATTTTTCCTCTGTTAAGTTTATTTAGAAATTTTAGCTTAATCAGAAGATTTGTCTCTAGAAAATAAATGAGTTGTAAAGAAAAGTGTGCACTGAGGCTTCCCTCCAGCACGTCGGAATGGCGTACACTTTTATATGAGTATTGATTTTACGCGTGTGTGAATGAGCAAAATAAATAATCATCCCTGAACATGTCCCAAAGCACTCATTCTCATTTCTGGTCTACCAGAACGCTTTCAAACTTTCACAGAGCCACAAGAGATACAAAATCAGGTAGGCCTACTGACCTGCATAAAATCGACTCCTTCTTTCTTCGGGAGCGGGAACGGATGCCATCTGTACTGGTTGGGTGTTGGTTCAAATCCGGAAAAGTTGTTGGTGAACTTCTCAGTCTTCACCTTCTGAAACGGCTTGTGGACCACTGACGGACGAATCCGGTACAACCAACTGAAACTATGAGTATTTCAAGCGATAGTAAAAAAATTTTCCTAGTCCTGTTTGAGTAAAACCCGTGATGTATTTCATGGGTCAACAGCTCCTTAATTATGGCGAAGCGCACTAACTAGCAGAGTATTCAAGAAAGAGAGCTAACGTATGACCCTCACTCTCTACACGGACTCCAATAAAATTAGCAGGAAATTTGACACATTGACGACAATCGGATTTTTCGCTAAAACGATAGCAAAAAGATTCTAAATAAAACTATTCAGATCGTTGTAAGCAAATGAGTTTAGGCAGAATTTCGAAATGCCGCCGGCTATGGAAATATTTTCGAAGCAGTCGATGGCTAAGATGACTGACGAAAATCCCGCACATTCGTCAGACTAGGGTCCTAAACTCAATTACGCCAGCAGCCCAGTGGACGGACGCCCAGTGAAAAGATACAATGCTTCACTAAAGTACAACGAATGCCATATGCAAAATATTCAGAGTGGAGGGAATGTTAAGACGAACGAACGATTCCCTGTCCTAAGACTTCGTACTTAAAAGTTGAAGTTGGAAGTAGGAAAGAAGTAGTAGAAGAAAAGCTAGCATCTCGTAATCATTCCCTTCAGAGATCGCAGTCCCAACGCAGATGCAGAAAAACCGATTCCACGGTCGTAAAAACCATTAGACTTAAAGACACATTCCGCGATTGCGAGCCGTGGATACCGGAGACAAAATATTGAATTGCGACGCCAATTGAGTAGTAGTAAATCAAAAGCAGAAAAAAAGACCCGCTGAAAGCGCCCCAAACAATGCTCTCTATCCTGCAGCTGATTATCTGCACTGGATGAGGTGCAGCAGGTGAAAAGAAACCGCGAGCAAGAGCGAGAAAGCATGAGTACTGAAATCAGAAAATGACAGTTGGATTAGTGGTGAAGCTCGAAGAAGATTGTTACAGAAAGACTCTATGTTACAGAAAGAGTCCTCCTACCCCTTACAGGGTCTCAGAGTAGGAGGACACCATCAACTGCCTTCTCTTGGAACAATTCCAAAATAGGAGGGGAACCTCAGAAAATTGTCTAGGTAATACTGTTCTATCTTTCCATGTATTTAGTTAGAGCACTTATGAGCGTGGGCCTCTTAATATTCCATGACGTCCCTTCAAAGGTCACAGTTCCAAAGTGAATGAGGGAAAACCGCCACCCTCATTTGCAATTCAAAACCAGACTTAAAGACACATTCTGCGATTGCAGGTCAATAAATAACGAAGATGAAATATGAGATTGCAGGCGCTATTTGAATTACTGGTAAATTAAAAAGTAGAAAAAAAACCATCGAGAACGCCTCTAACAAGGCCCTCCTTTCTGCAGTTGATTTTCAGCACAGGGCGCATCGTACATTTGGGAACCTCAGCGAGGGGCGGGTCGTATGTGGTCATAGGGCGAAGGAAGGGAGTCGCAGTTGCTTTGAAGAAAAATATTCTCGGCTGTTAGCCTTGTCAATTTTTCCTGTTTCAGGACAGCCAGGACAGTTTTCAGGGGTGAATACTGTGGAGGAACTTTTCATAAACTCCGGAAAACTGATAGGAAGTTGTTTGAATTCGGCAGGATCAAAGGCAAGATGGAGAAGGAGGACGTAGCAGAGCACGAAAAT